ACAAATATCATAGGACTTCACTCCTATGAGGACTTTAAGAGACAAAACAGATGAACATAGGGGAAGGGAAACAAAAAGAATATAAAAACAGGGAGGGGGACAAAACAGAAGAGACTCATAAATATGGAGAACAAACGGAGGGTTGCTGGAGGGGGTGTGGGAGGGGGGATGGGCTAAATGGGGAAGGGGCACTAAGGAATCTACTCGTGAAATCATTGTTGCACTATATGCTAAGTAACTTGGATGTAAATTTAAAAAATAAAGAAAAGGAAAAAAACCAAAATGTAAGATGTTAGCAGTACTGCTCAGGTGCTCCCTGTATTTACTCATCAGACAGTGCAGACACTGGCCCTGCCCCTGGAAGTCGGCACCACGAGGTCAGGGGCTCCGTGACAGTTATGAAGCACAGGCCAATTAAAGGGGGACGTGACCCACCCCACCCAGAGTGCCAGGGGATCGCAAGCTGCACAGTGCAGTCACGATCCACCGGTTGCACCTGTCAGTGCCCTGGTGAACTGTTTCTGGGCTGTGAACACACGTCCCCGACGCACGACCTCTTAGGAGCTCGTGGCAACAGTTATGGGGATGCGGCAGATTGGAGACCCTAGAGGAGGCCCCTCTGCTGGGACCTTTTATCGAGAGTGAGTGATGAGTCACACCCTGGGTGGGCTGCCAGACTACACTTCTTTGCAGGGTCCCGAAGGCAAGCCTCCTGCCCCGCTCCCGCCGGGACGTGCGGGGGAGGGTCCCTGAACCACGCGGCCCTCACCAGCAGCAGCAGACTGGGGACCAGGGAAGTGATGAGGTCCCACAGCAGAGCGGAGAGCCAGAAGGTGGCCACATAAACACCACTGATGAACTGGATGTGCTTGGCCTTTGTGGATCTCTCTTTGACCGTCAAGATGGCAAAGGAGCTGGACAGGAAAGCTATTCCGAAAAGCAAGTTGATAACAAGGTAGTGTCCTTTAGGGCTGCTGCGAAAGGACACGAGGGGAGAGGAAGCCGTGTGAGCACAACTGCTCACACCAGCCGTCTTTCACAGTGACGGTTGTAATCCCGGCGAGAAGCGGATGAGAAAGAATAGGTGGCCAAGGGGACGCGGCATGCGCGGGAAGGCTTTCCTGGGGCGGGACGGTCACACTCACTTGTACAAGATGTCCTCCGAGGCCTCCAGGGCCGACTTAGGTTGAGGGTGGTTGGACGCCGTGATGGAAGCCGTGGCCCCGGAGAGCAGCTTGAAGAGGAAGTTGTCCACGAGCGCCAGCGCCACGGCAGGGGAGTGGTACGCCTGGTTGTTGAACAGCGCCGTCACCGTCATGTGGTTCCCCTGGTCTTCAAAGGAAGCAGCCACGACGTATTTGAAATCAAAGCCCTCGGGCTCCTCCTCTGCCTTGTCCAGGAGGAGGTCCTCCACCGAGCCTGCAACAGAGCCGGGCGCCCCGGAGCCTCACGCCCTGGACCCCGACCCCGCGCCCCCTGAGCGCCTCACCACCCGCCCCGCCCCCCAGGAAAGCGGGCTCCTCTGGACGCAGCTGGCCCCTCCGTCGCGCGCCCGGGCCTCCACAAAACGTCCCTTTCACTGACTGAAGCCGTGGGGGGCAGGGGGAGGAAAAACGTCTAGTCATTTTTTTTCAGGTGACTCTTTGCCTGGATGGTGTAGCCCCAAGAAGCCCCGTGCCTCTTCCAGTCGCTCTCATCTACGTGGAAGGACACACGCGGTCGCACTGCACCTCCCCTCCCCGAACCGCAAAGTGACCCTCACGGCCCACCTGGCCCGCAGCGCCCAGTCTCCATCCAAACTCCACTGGCGCCTTCAAGGTCTGGCCACACCTGAGGACCCGCCGTGCCCCGTGCTGACAGGTGCTCCCCCCACCCCCCGCCGCCCCGGGTTTGGAACGTTCTCCGCTTACCCCCTGCTTGCTGCGGGGTCCACCCCTGTCACATCTCAGGCTCTTACTCCGCAGCCTGTCTCTCCCCATCCGAGGTCGACCTGTGTCCCCGTGATCCCACAGTGGGATGGTCCCTACACATTGCAGCTGTGGTCACCCTCTCCAGGACCTCTGGGCAAGGGGCTCACTATGGGCCAGTGGTACCGCCGTTCTTCGCGGTACTCTCGGCACACAGCACCACGGAAATATACGCACACCTAGACCTCTGGGGTCGTGGGTGCTGAAAAGGACCCTCCTTCACAGCAGCAGCAGCAGGAGTAACGCGCGCAGGCAGCACGCTCACTCCGCGGGCCCCGCGTGTGCCCCTGGGTGGGAGGGAGGAGGCGAGCTTTATCCTTCTCCCCGTCTTCCCCACCAAGAAACCGAGGCTTGGAGACGTAGGGCGCTGTGATCCCGCCATTTTGCTCCACCGTGTTCTGCATTTGATCTCTTCATTTAAAAATGTGAACACCTCAACATTTTATTTCTTTCCAAGAGAACGCGTGCATCTAACTTTTCAAACCAGATAATCCTGCAAGACTCGGGATGAGAAACAGCAGGGCCCTGGCCTGCCCTTCGTTGTCCCCAGTGCCCGTTCGCCCGAGGCAACCAGACTCTCCAGCCGCTCAGCTGGCGTTTCTCTGGATCGCTGAAGCACATTTACCTCTGGACGTCCCATCCTGGAAGTGGGGACTTTGTTCCTTACCCCACCCCACCCCCTAAGGGCTGCCCTCCTCTCCCCTCCCCTGGAATACATCAGAAAGTTGGTTAAGTCAAGGCACAATCAAGTGCTCTGTTATGGTAGGTCTCCTTTTTCATACGATCTTCCCCTGCCCTCCTGAGTTCATGTCCTCCCTTTTCACATTTGCTCAGTGATCCCTATGTCTGTCACCAAACTCCCTCCATCGAAGTGTAAATCCCCTCTCGGGACACATCAAACAGCAGATAATTGTCCGTTTCAGTTTTGGACATGCCGCCATCCCCAGAAAGACACAGCCTGGCTGCATTTCCAGGCACCCTCTCCCTTTTCTGTCATCTGGCGGCCAAGAGATCTTCTGAGACGTCTGGCTGTTCACCTGACTTCAGGGCGCACCCCCTACCACGGCCCCCAGAGCACGCGCTGCTCTCCTGGGCCTCAGACTTACTCCGGGTCTCCAGAGGGATCTGTTCCTCCGCCAGAAGCATGTCTGTAAAATACTGTGAAAGCCGAGGACCCAGCCTGGAATTGGGAGAAATATAGAACGGGACGACGGTTCGGCCATACGTTCTCAGGGTCAGTTCCAGCGGCACGCTGCCCGTGTTCGTTTCCAAGTTGAAGATGGCGAGGCTGAAGGTGGTGATCAGCAGGGGCACCAGGACCTGTACCGTGAGCATCAACAACCAGTTGCGCCAAGAGTACAGGACCCTTTTCAGGAGCATGGCATAGAACTGTTGGCAGATGAGGCTGAACTGCGATAAAAAAAAGGGGGGGGGACACACCATTAACACGGCCACACAGAGGAGCTAGCCTCCCCCCGGCCGCAGTCTCGTATTGGGTCTAATGCTTTGATGATGTTCAAAATTTGCTTTGACCTGATGACTTGATTCACATTTAATGGCAGAAAAGGAAGTCACAGATTGGAAAGCTCTGGAAGAGTAGTAGCCTGAACAGATAGCAGATGTAAGCATGATACAATTTTTTTTTTCAACCCGCCACATTATCAGAAACTTTAAGTTGGTGAGGATGTGGAATGCCAGTGCTGAGGTCTTCATTTGGCACAACTTTTGTAGAAAACAGATGACCTGGATGAATACAATATAATACGCATGTAGTCTTTAGGCTAGAAATTCCACTTTTAGTAACATATCCTGCAGGTAAATACGCAGGACCCGTGCACAGTGTGGCCCTTGTGGCACGGGCAGTCAGCGTAAAGGGTGCGGTCGTGTGCACTGAGGTCGAAGACATAAAGTTGGGCCTGGGGTGGGAGGCTCCGGAGGTCAGCGCCATGAGCTCCCGCTCGGCTTCTCGCTGGTGCTGCGGGAGCTGGGGCAGACGGGGCCCTCGAGCCTCAGGGCCGATGTTCGTTGTGCGTGACTCATCCACCCAGAGCCTTTGTGGGGAGAGGCTTGGTGGTCAGGTTTGAGTCAGGCATTCTTAAGTTTCTGGCCCCAAATACCGACAAATCCTTGAGACTCTACCAAGCATCTCTGAAATCTCCCGCCTTGGACACGAAGGCCACGTCCACCCAAAGCATTCGTCAAAAGATGCTACTCTCAACTTGTTCGAGGTTGTGCCCTGAGAATTACCTCCTGGGAGGTTTCCAGAAGCAAAGCTTGGCCCAGCGGAGCCCAGATTAACCTCTTGCTGGGGGCTGGAGAGGAGCCTCCTGGACAGGACAGGCGGCTGGCCTACATGGCCCTGAGACCCTTTCCAACTCAGAGGCCCCTTTTATACCTGATTCAAGATTGTGGAACAGTGCAGTCAATCTCTTCCCTAACCCATGAAAACCAGTCTCACTATTTTACAGTCATACCTTGTAGGTGGCGAAATCGAGACCATTTTGTAAGGTGCGTATCAATATCCTTTTTTTTTTCGATAACAAAAGAACATTACAGGTTATCCACATAGTTCATAAGGATGTTTTAAAAAAATCGTGGGGCGCCTGGGTGACTCGGTTGGTTAAGTATCTGACTTTAGCTCAGGTCATGATCTCATAGTTGGTGAGTTTGAGCCCCGTGTCGGGCTCTCTGATCTCAGCACAGAGCCTGCTTCGGATCCTCTGCCCTCACACCCCCCTCTGCCCTTCCCTCCACCTCTCCCTCCCTCAAAAATAATAAAATAAAACACTAAAATAGATATGTCTTCAACTCCAGGTGTGATATGTGATCTGTTTCACAGTGAAATATGAAAACGGGAAGATTAAATATGCTTTTTTTGGCTGGTAGATTCAGTGCTTTTATTCTTTCTTCTTTTTGGTAAGAGGAAGGGCCAAGACCTTTTACTGTGTCCTTTTCTGGTACTTTCTTCCACTGAGTTAATCGTGGCCAGGAAACAATAGTGCATTGTCTCTGAACTAGAGCTGAGAGCATGGCCTTGTGGGAACCCGGCCGGGCCTCTTTTGTGCCTAAGATCTACACATTTCTCCTCAAGCCCCTGGCAAAGGGTGGGTGACCTGGACTTCTTGACCAAAGAACAGGATGATTCTAAGAGTTAACCCCAAATCTGCCCCCTGGCATGCATGTGAAATATTTGCTCACCCCAGTGTTGTGATGGATTGGCAGGCCGGACGGTATGGAGAAGATCCTTGAGTGAATACGTTTGATTCTGTTGACAGGAACCCCGCCGATCAGGTGGTGAGACTGAATGGAGGGAATCTTGAGGGTTTGGATTTCTGTGCTGGGATCTGTCAGCTTGTTCACCCTACACCAAACGGAAACAGAAACGCAAATTTGCAAAATCACATCTCGCTTCATTTTGTTTGGATTTAAAGAGACAACGTCATGTAAAATTTGAAAGAAAAGAAAGACGTTAGGACAAGAATAACGAGGGCAGGGGCGCCTGGGTGCTCAATTGCTTGAGCCTCCAGCTCTTGATTTCAGCTCAGCTCATGATCCCAGTGTTGTGGGATCGAGCCCTGCATCAGGCTCCATGCTGAGCGTGTGTGGGGCCTGCTTGAGATACTCTCTCTCTTGGGGCACCTGGGTGGCTCAGTTGGTTGAACGTCTGACTCTTCATTTTGGCTCAGGTCATGATCTCGCAGTTTCGTGGGTTCGAGCCCCGCATCGAGGCTCTGAGCTGATGGTGTGTAGCCTGCTTGGGATTCTCTCTCTCTCTCTCTCTCTCTCCCCCCACCTTCCTCCCTCCTTCCTCTGTCCCTCCCCTGCTAGTGCGTGCTCACTCTCTAAAAAAATTAATTAATTAATTAAAGAATATTGAGGAAAAAGGAGATGCACCCAGATGATATACTGCTAGCAAGCATATTTTGACTAGAAAGTTTTTTTTTTAAATTTTAAAAAATATTTATTTATTTTTGAGAGAGAGAGAGAGAGAGACAGAGAGAGAGACAGAGTGCAAGCCGGGGAGGGGCAGAGAGAGAGAGGGAGACACAGAATCTGAAGCAGGCTCCAGGCTCTGAGCTGTCAGCCCAGAACCCAACATGGGGCTTGAACTCACAAACGGTGAGATCATGACCAGAGCCGTAGTCAGATGCTTAACCAACTGAGCCCCCCAGGAGCCCACAGAAAGTTCTTAAATAGGTCCTGAGTAAATATTGAATTAACTGACCAATGGCTTTTCCAAAGAACTGAGGCAACGTTAGGATGAATAGATTTCATTATTTTCCTATAAAGATGCCATATGCAAATTAAAACAAAAATGAAATGTCCCTTAATATCTACTTTATGAGCAAGACTCATAAACCCAAGTATGACACGTAGCACTGTAGCCTGAGGTCTTATTTTTGTTTGGCACTGAGCTCAGAAAGGATTTTACGTTTTTAAATGGTTACATGCTAGATGGTTATCTAATTACTTACATAATAATATCCTTGATTATGCCACTAAACCTACAGTAGCCTAAAACGTGTACTCTGGCTTTTCAGGAAGAAGTTTGCCGAACCCCGCCCTAGGCCAAAAGAGGTATTCCTTGCGGGCAGCAAACCGTTCGGAAGCCGAGAAATATATTTTTACTCATAATCTTCAGGTCGGTTATTCTACTCCTGGGAGTGCGTCACAGCGAAACAGTGCAGTAAATTGTAGCTCATTTTCCCTGCAATAGAGTTCTGTAAATGGCGGTGTGGCCCAGATTCTCCCCAAACTTAGCAGCTTAAAACAACCGTAAACGTTTGCTGTGTCACACAGTTCTGTGGGCCAGGCGTTCGGAAGTGGCTCGGCAGGGTGGTGCTGTCTCCGGGGCTCTCAGGAGGCTGCATGCAGTCGAGCTCTGGGCCTGGGCTGCAGTGGTCTGAAGGCTGGACTGGGGCGGGAGGCCCCACTCCCAAGACGGTGCCCTCATGTGGCTGGCTTAACAGCTGGCTCTCCCAGTGGAGTTGTTTTTATTATTATTATTTTTTTTTAACGTTTATTCTTGAGAGACAGAGAGACACAGAGCATGAGCAGAGGAGGGGCAGAGAGAGAGAGGGAGACACAGAATCCGAAGGGCTCCAGGCTCCGACGCGGGGCTTGAACTCACGAACTGTGAGATCATGACCTGAGCCAAAGTCAGTCACCTAACCGACTGAGCCACCCAGGTGCCCCTCTACCAGTGGAGTTCTGACAAGAATGTTGGTTTTAATTCACATTAATGATGAGGATAAAAGTGAATAGCAGCGGTGTGTGTCAGAACTTCACTCGTGCATCCCCCAGGCAAGCCACACTGTTGCTGACTTGAATACTACTGTTCTAATGCTGGAAGAATATTTCCCTAAGTTTTTGTGTTCTTAATGAAATGGCTCGGGATAGGAGACACTTTTCAACTTAGTTTGCATTATTAACATTTTCACCACCACTTTCTTAATCTAGACAATCAACAAAATGTTAAATTAAACCCTAGTGTTACCTGTTTACCCGGTTCCATGACGTAAGTTCACGCATGATGGTTGATTTCAAATTATCGACACAGCACGTCCATCATGCGGATTTAAGTAGACGTAAAAAAACCTTAAGAGCACTGATAATAGTACAATGTAGCCAAACTGTGACATCTTGTGTATTGCCATTTACAATGTTTTGATTTATAACATAGTTTTATAATCTTATAACAGGAAATTTATGTTCAGTCTTCTGTTCCTAGCACTGAGCTCCCAAAACATTTATACGTTCCTAAATGGTGACCTCAGGTAAGGCGTGTTGAGTTGTGTCGTGTTGTGTGACCGAGGTGACTTTGGAAAGGACCTGAGGATGGGGACTGGTTGCCGAGAGATCCATCCATGGGATTCGAGGGTTGGAACTTTCAGGCCCCCCTCCCAGCCTCCTGGGAAGGGACAGGGGCTGGAAATTGAGTTCAAGTGCCAGCGGCCAATGATTTAATCAATCAATTATACCTGTGTAATGAAGCCTCCACAAAAACCCAAATGGGCAGAGAACCCAAAACACTTCCGGGTTCGTGTCCCGGGAGGTGCCGGGAGAGCAGTGCCGTCAGAGAGCACGGACGCTTTGCACCGTTGCCTTGTGTATGTGTTCATCTGGCTCCTGTATCATGTTCTGTATAATGAACTGGTAGATGTCGGTGTTTTTGTGAGCTCTGTGAGCCATTCTAGTGAGTTAATTGAAGAAGCGGTTGTGGGAACGTCCAGTTTATGGCTGGTGGGTCAGAAGCACAGGTGACCACATGAAGTTGTGACTGGGGTCTAGAGTCAGGGAGTGGGGGGCATTCTTGCAGGACTGAGCCCTTAAGCTGTGGGTTCTGATGCTGTTCTCCAGAGAGAGAGCGTCAGGGTGAAGTTAACTGCTTGGTGGTGTGAAAAAAAGTAAAACAAAACTGGGGCGCCTGGGGGGCTCAGTCGGTTAAGTTTCCGACTTCAGCTCAGGTCATGATCTCCGCGTTGTGGGTTCGAGCCCCACATCGGACTCTATAGCGACAGCTCAGAGCTTGGAGCCTGCTTCAGATTCTGTGTCTCCTTCTCTCTCTCTCTCTTTCTCTCTGCCCCTCCCTTGCTCATTCTCTCTCTCTCTCTCTCTCTCTCTCTCTGTCTCAAAAATAAATAAATGTTAAACCCTGCCCCACACTTTGGAATTGATATCAAAATTGTACTACAGTTTTTTATTGTGATTTATTTACCAGCTTATGCAATTGAATTTTTAATAAGAGCCGTGTTTAGCTGGTTCACAAAATTCTTGATAATTTAATATTCGGCTCTCGTGAGCTGAGCTGAGCTGAGCCAGCTCCAGCACACCTCTGGCAGGGGCCTCGATTCCTTGTTGGCTGTTGGCAAAAGCCTCGGTTCCGGGCCACGTGGACTTCTCCCTGAGGCCGTGTGAGTGTCCTCCCAAGACGGTGGCTGGCTTCTCCCAGCCTGAGCCTGAGACGGAGAGATAGAGGTACAGTGTCTCTCGTGAGCTAGCCTCATTACTCACTCGTCAGTTCCGCAAAACCTTGCTGCCTTTGTGGGTCAGCCCTATTTACAGCGATGGCTAGCCTGGCAGGCCCCGCCTGTGCCGAGACCCCGCCTCTGCTCTCGACCAGACCATTTCTCCTGGACTTTTCTAGGCTTTCTACTTGTCCTTTCGTTAGCTTTCCTACAGATTGGGGGATGTTAGTGAGCATTATCAGGATTTGCGTGGCCTCTCTTCAGGGCTTCAGCTGGTACCCGAGGAAGGTGTGTGGGGAAAGACAGGAGCCACACAGCACTTCGCCACGATATTTTCTTTGGTCCCGTGAAACGTTGTGTCAAGGTTGTATTCTGAATTTTTCCTCATTCAGTTTCTGCTGGTTGGATTTTTTGCTGGAGGGGCTGTTTAAGAAATAAGACTGTCATTTATTGAGACTGAATTCCAGGAAGGAAGGGAGGGGAGTTTTCTACAGCGGGAAGTTGGCGGCCACCACACCACGGTGTCTCCAAACAGATTAAGTACAGACTAAGAGCTGGTCCGAGAGCTTCCGCACTGTGCTGGGCAGCCTCTGACTGGCCCTCCAAACCCCAAATGCTCATGCTCTGTCATGACCTCCCTCAGTCTCCTCCCGGTTTTATTGAAATATAATTGACATTTAACCTTGTGTAGTTTAAGGTGCACAACATAACAGCCCGATATATGTATATACGTGAAACCGTCACACAATTAAGCTCAGTTAGCGTCCGCCTTACAACCTTAGGGTATTTTTGCTTGTGGTGAGAACTTTTAAGATCTACTCTCTTGCTAACTGTCGGATGTACAATAAATACAGTGTTGTCAACCACAGTCACCATACTCTCCTTACTTCTCTTGTAACTGGAAGTTTGTGCCTTTGCCTCCCCTTGCCCAGTTCCCTCACCCACCCCCACCCGCTGCCCCCGGCCACCACGGATCTCTTCTGTCTCTGTGAGTTTGGTTTCTTTCAGGATTCCACACATGAGTGAGATCATGCGGGATTTGTCTTTCTCTGTCTGGCTTATTTCACTGTGCATAATGCCCTCAAGGCCCATTTATGTTGCTGCAGATAGCAGGATTTTCCTTTTTTTTTTTTTTTAATTTTAACATTTATTCATTTTTGAGACAGAGCATGAACGGGGGAAAGTCAGAGAGAGGGAGACAGGAATCAGACGTCAGGCTCGCAGGCTCCGAGCTGTCAGCACGAGCCGGCCAGGCCTCCAGAACTCTGCAAGCCACATGAGATCATGACCTGAGCCGAAGTCGGATGTCCAACTGACTGAGCCACCCAGGCGCCCCAGGATTTTCTTTTTTCTTAATGGGTGAATAATATTCTCGTGTGTGTGTGTGTGTGTG